CCCTCCTCCTCGCTCCACCCAGCTGGTGTCTTGCCTGAGTGGAAATTGCCATAGTGAGCATATAGCGAAGTGCGCATGCGCAAACGCATCCTATGATGTATATCATAGGGAGGGCGGGGCATCTCGATACTTCGCAAGTCAGAGAAATTTCGCCGTTACACGGCTTGACAGATTGAACTGTTTCGATGACCAGCTTACAAACTAAGTATGATTGGCTGCCCCACACATGGTTAAGTTTAAAAAGATGTCATTATAATAAAAACAGGTTATTTGACCTATTTCAGGTGAATACGAGGATTTATTAACCCCTCGAAGGTGATATTTCCCTCGCCTCCGGCTCTCCGGGAAATATCACCCGTCTCGCGTAATAAATCTCGTATTCACCTGAAAATAGGTCAATAGATTGGTATATAACGAACGTTCAAACAGGCAGTTTAGTACTGCACCTAAATTTGCCTCGTGTCTAAACCGTAGAGAACTAACTTCTTTGAGAGCTTTATTAAAAAAATTTTTTCGAAGCGAAACTGTCGAAATACTTGAATAATTGAGAGTTAGCTGTCTTATAGTTTAATTGCCGAGCGTGCGTGGCGCGTGGCCTTAATGCTAGAAGGACTGCTGTAATTATACTCCGTAAAAATGTAGCATCATAGTATTAAAATACGCGATTGCAACTCTAGTCTAGTCGCTCGAAAGATGGTTCCTGTTAAATTTGAGTGCGTTGCTATGCTATACGCGGCGTTGAAGTAGACGCAAGTCTGGTGATACTCGGCAATATTTTACTTGTCGCTGAATTACTCAGCTCGACAAATCAACTGTGATAGGATAGATATAGAGGTTTATAGTCATGCGCCTCTGGAGTCATTAGAGACCAATTATTGAGAATTCTTAGCGACATTGAAGGCGTCAACAAATCAGCGTGATTCTACACCGTCCGTCCGGTCTGGAACAGCTCTCAAACCAGGCTCCGGCGTTTTTATAAGAATACAGCTGCACTGTGAAAAATGATTAATCTGTCTCAGATGTTCGCAGTATCTGCGAATACCGGCGATGAAAGCGGTTCCTTCTATAAAGATATGCCGATTATTGCGAACGCAGGTCTGTCACTTATATAATTCACAAGCTGTGAATGGCGGTCGACGCCATCTGCATGTACGCATC